GTGGAGGTGTGGGTCAGTAGGGGCCCACCACAGGGATGGGGGGACTGGTAGCAGCTGTCTGGGAAAGCCCTGTTTTGGAGGTCACCCTTAACTCCCAGGGATGGGTCACCTCAGGCCAAAAAGCTACCAGGGAGGGAGCAAACCCTTCCCATCAGCAGATAATTGAATCAAAGCTTTACTGAGCAAGGCCCTGCCCACCAGAGCGAGACCCAGTTTTTCCCAACACAGTCCCTCTCATCAAGAAGCTTACACAAGCCTCGTAGCCTCTTCCATCAGAGGGCAGACAGAAGAAGCAAGAAGAACCACAATCCCACAGGGAGTAAAACAAAACCATTTTACAGAAAGTTAATTAGTATGAAAAAGCAGAAAGTTACATTCCAGATGAAGGGACAAGATAAAAATCCCAGAAAAACAAATGAAGTGGAGATAGGCAATCTTCCAGATAAAGAACTCAGAATAATGATAGTGAATATGATTCAGAATCTTGGAAAAAGAATGGAGGCAAAGATTGCAAGAAATGTCTACCAAAGACCTACAACAACTAAAAAACAAACAGAGATGAACAGTACACTAGAAGGAATCCACAGCAGAATAACTGAGACAGAAGCACGGATAAATGACCTGGGGGACAGAATGGTGGAAACCATTGCCACAGAACAGAATATAGAAAAAAGGGTGAAAAGAAATGAAGACAGCCTAAAAGACCTCTGGAACAACATTAACACATGAACATTCACATTAAAGGGTTCCCTGGAGGACAACAGAGAGAAAGGACCTGAGAAAATATTTGAAGAGATAATAGCTGAAAACTTCCCTAACATGGAAAAGGAAATAATCAACCAAGTCTTGGAAGCACACAGAGTCCCAGGCAAGATAAACTGAGGGAGGAATACACTGAGACACATAATAATCAAACTGACAAAAATTAAAGACAGAGATAAAATGTTAAAGCAACAAGGGAAAAACAACAAAAAAACATACAAGGTAACTCCCATCAGGCTGATTTCTCAACAGAAACTTTATAAGACAGAAGGGAACAGCATGACATATTTAAAGTGATGAAAGGGAAGAATGTACAACCAAGAATACTCTACTCAGCAAGACTCTCCTTCAGATTTGATGGAGAAATCAAAAGTTTTACAGACAAGCAAAAGTTAAGAGAATTGCACCACCAAACCAGCTTTACAACAAATGCTAAAGGAACTCTCAGCAGAAAACAAGAGAAGGAAAATCCCTACCTAAAGAAAATAAACCCCAAACAATTAAGAAAATGGTAATAGGATTACCTTAAGATTTAATTACCTTAAATGTAAATGAATTAAATGAACCAACCAAAAGACACATATTGGCTGAGCAGATGAAAACATGTCCATGTATGCATTTCCACTTACATCACTCTACTTGACCCCCAAATTGTATGCAATTATTTTATACTGTTAGGTTAATCATGGTCCCATTATGACTTGCAATTGTAATTATCTTTTATTTTTTGTCTGGCTATTGATTGTGAAAACTGATAAACATCTTTTACTATTGTGATTATGTAACTATTACCCACTTAATACTACTGTATCATGATTGGTCAACAAAAAAATTATAGAATTCTATATCACCAAAACTACCATTTAATAGAAAAACCTGTAATCACTTTTAAAATCCATATGCATATCAGAAATATCTTGGAATTTTTTGAAAAAAGACATCAAGATTTCTTGATAAATTATAGCAGTAGTTCTCAAACTTTAACACACATCAGAGTCATCTGGAGGGCTTATTACTACTCAGATTATTGAGCCTCACACCCAAAATAACTAACTGAGTATGTCTGAGGTGGGGTCCAAGAATTTGGATTTCTAACAAATACCAGGGTATTTATGATACTACTGGTCTAGGAACTACAGTAAATTATTGGCTTTTCTACAGAAATGTGAAAATTTAGGGAAAAAAATTGGATGTTGTTTAACTTCTTTTACTATTCACATAAACTATATAGTAAACATTAATAGAAGTTTATTCAAATGAACTTACTGAAGACTGGTTACTTACAGGTCACTTACTTCCCTTTCTTGGATATGTAGAAATGAGCCACTGACAAGAAATGAGATCTGATAGCTTTCATTATCATTAATTCCACTGTTGATTCCTCATCTAGAGATGTTATTAAATATCACAACCATAAAATGTGTTTACTTAAGTAATGCCTTAAAGCTCCAACAAATGCAATTGATCATTATTAATAAAGGGCCTAATTTTAATATCTTAATTTTTTTAAAAAATTGAGCTCCTAGTACACATTAGAGACCTTGATACGCAGCCAAAAACAAAGGTAGGCAAAACATCTGTGCCTTATGCTTAACACAAGGAGGCAAGTCATACACAGAATGAAACAATCATTATGAGATAAATACTGCCAATTGAAAATATATATGAGAGAGGAAATGGTAGGATAAAGGAAAAAACGACAGTCTAAGGAGATCCAACTAGTCCATCCTAAAGGAAATCGGTCCTGGGTGTTCATTGGAAGGACTGACGTTGAAGCTGAAACTTTGGCCACCTGATGCAAAGAGCTGACTCATCTGAAAAGACCCTGATGCTGGGAAAGATTGAAGGCAGGAGGAGAAGGGGACAACAGAGGATGAGATGGTTAGATGGTGTCACCGACTCAATGGACATGAGTTTGGGTAAACTCCAGGAGTTGGTGATGGACAGGGAGGCCTGGGGTGTTGCGGTTCATGGGGTCACAGAGTCGGACACGACTGAGCGACTGAACTGAACTGAACTGCTGAGGTCATAAAAGGTATCTCAGAAGATGGAACAACTTCAACTTAGTCCTAAAGAATGGATAGACATTCACTAGACAAACAAGATGGCACTGGTTATTCTCTATATCATACTATAACAGAACCAAGGTACAAATTATCTGAAACATCATAATATACCAGGTAACACAAAATCCAAAGAATTCAAATTAGAATTAAGCAACATTTTTCTCACTTAAAACTGAAAGTTTATTCTTGTTCAAGGGACTTTAAGTCTGTATATTATTTTGATTTTTTTTTTTTTCCAGTTACTAGTACCAAAGACAGCTTTTTGGCTATGTGTTACACCTTGGTAAATTCATCAAGTTAACTGGATAGTAAGCATTAGGTAGGAGATTAAAACTACAGTCAATCTGTGTTATTTAAAAATACATAGTCAAAGTTTAAAATAGTCACTTTGAGATTGTGTTATAAACAATTTCATAATTATGACATTTATGTTCAGCATATTCCTACTATTAGTAACCTGCAAAATATGCATAAGTAAATAGAAAACAGTTTATATCAATAACTAGTTCCATAAAAGGACAACAATAGCTAAAAATTCAGGGAAATAGTTATAAATGGCCATCTCATGTTCTAAACATGAAATTGAAATTATTTTTATACTCTTCTCTATTTCTGTGGTCAATTCCCATCATGAAGTATCACCCCTTGCCTGATCTTAGTTAGGACTAATTCTCAAACTGGATAGTAATGCTAGAATTGGATAGTGATGCTAGAATTATACAACAATGTAGAGAATTTTCAACATCCTGAAAACTGAGGAAGTTTGAAATATATATAGAAGGTATTAAAAAGAGAAAGAGCATCTCAGGACCCTGGTAACCGGTAACAGTACAACAGCAAATGTCTAAAATTTGCTGAAAGACAGGCAGTACGAAAGTTGAGAAGGACTATCTTGATGGTAGTAAATTCTTTCCCCAATCCAGCTCTCAAATCCCAAACTACTAGAAGTAAAAGGTTGCTTAAAAATGCTGATTTCTAGGTCTCACTCCTATATATAAGGAACCAGAATCTATAGAAGTAGAAATCTATATTTTTAGAAGCATATCATGCATATAAAATTTTGAAAATCAGACTCTTTATCAACCCCTTATCAACCCTACACACTTCTTACCCAAATCAGAATTAATTATGTGGATATAGAACACAAAATTGGAATGATAATCCATATGACAATAATTTAGGGAATAGAAGTGTAAGTAACAATAATAAAAGGTAAAAATTCTTCCCAAGGTATGTACTTTCTTGAACCTTCCTTTTCCTGTTTGGATTGCTTTTTCTTCAAAATCACTTAAAATACACTACTACACTACTTTCCAAGGGAAGGAAAGTAGTGTATTCCTCTCAGATCAGAAAGCAGTAACTTTGGACAGGAGTTCACATTTATAGTCTGTGTAATGAACACAAGGAAAAGTCCTCACATGTTCATGAAATGCTTACATGAGCCTACCATGGTAAAGATCAGAGATTTCAGTCCATATCCCTGGTTAACAATAAAACATATTCCATTATCTGGAACTTTTTTCCTTACACTTGTTCACAAAACTCAGGAAGGTGGAAGACATGTTAATCAGTGGTATAGCATCAATCAGTCATACAGACTCAGAGAAATTTCAGTTATATTAACTCACAGTTTACACATTCAGTTTTTAACACCACACTTAATGGCAATTAACACAGAGTTTTCAAAAGTCTTCATGAGATCTGTTAGTATAATTTTGCAAAAATTTTATTAGTACTATAACATTTCTGAAATTTTAGGCTAGAAGAGCTGAATTTCTCCTATACTACTGAAAAATAATTTTTAAATTACAATAAATTAAAATAATTTAGCTTACTTATGGACAAAAATTATGAAACCTGTTGTTTAGATGACAGTTGATATATCCTGAAATAAATGAGAACTATGTGGATTTGCAAGGCAGCCAAATACACTGTAAATCTTAAGTAGAAAGAAAGGGAACACCATTAACTGACCATATCTGTTTTCACTGAAAATTTTCAGTAATGCAAACATTAAAATATTTTACTAGGATTTTATATAGCTAAAATAAAATATAAATAAGTATATAAATAAATATATAAATTTGCCACAAATCCTGCAGATTAAAAACGAGGTTATTTTGATACTAACTATGAGAAGATCTCTGTACACTGCATTAGTCAAGCGCATACCTATACTCTGGGTCGCTGTCATAGGCAGAGTCTCTATATAAAAGACCTCTTTTCAGTTCCAGTTCCTCTTCTTTCTCTGGGTCTCGCTCATCCTGAAAAATTCAAAGATTTCCATTAATTTATTTTATAATTAAAATGACACCCATGTTTCTTTGGTAATTGTGATCCCCCTCTCTCAATGCAAGAGACTGAATTAAATGCTGAATTTCTTAGGGAAAGAAACAAAAAGGTAAGTGAGAATTTATTATTCTGTTAAATAAAACTAACATAGCTTTTTTTCTATTACAGTATCACTTACACTGCTTCTCAAAGACTAGCACACAGTAGATGTTTCTTGCATCAGTGAATGATTAGGAATGGATGCTGTGTCAGGATACATCACCAAGTGTGTAGCAAGGGATAGTTCACACACTGTTATGTGGACTCCAAAAAGATTATACCTACGCTCTGAAAAATAAGCATTTGGGAAAACTATGTAGATGTAAGCATTTAGACATACCTATGACCTCCCAAAGAAGTGACTTAGTTTTATTACTCATATGCCAAAATGCAGTAACAAGCCACGAGAAGCGAAAACAAAAGCAAAGTAGTTGTAATCAAAACATATGGCTCCTCTTCCTCCAGGCAGCCTTTTCTTTACTCCTGACATACCCAGTCAAAGGCAGAAGAAAAAGAATTCTAAAGAGATAGCTTTTTTGTAAACTATATCATTCACAGTAGCAATGCTCTTAGATATATTTTTATATAATTCAGTTTTTCAACTATTGAATAACACCCTTATTCTGCAGTCAAATAGGAACAGAAATAGAACTGAACTAGTAAGCACAAATAGACTGTTATAAGGATTAGTATTAATATGGTATTCATTCATTTTATGTAAGAAATTCATAGAATAAAGATTATGAAGAAAAATGATTTTAAAAATTTGGTGATGGCATGAAGTTAATTGGGAAGACAGCATTCAGTTAAAAAAAGTAGGGACTTCCCTGACGGTCCAGTGATTAAGAATCCATTTTGCAGGGCAGGGGATGCAGGTTCGATCCCTGGTCAGGGAACTAAGACCCCACAGCCCGTGGAGCCTGAGCCCACATATCACAGCTACTGAGCCAGCGTGCTCCAGAGCTCAAGCACCACAACTTGAGAGGCCGCACCCTGCAGCCACTGAAGCCCGCGTGCCCTGCAGCCTGTGTGCTACACCTCGAGAGCCTACGTGCCACGCTGGAGCCCACACATCACAGCTAGAGAGTCCGTGGGAGGCAAGACCCAGCATGATGCCACAAAGATTCTGTGTGCCGCAACTAAGACCCCACACAGCCAGATGAATAAGTAAATAATGCAAGCAATAAATACTAGAACAAGTTTAAGAATCACAGAAAATGTGAACATATATTTAGAATTATTAAAACTTCCAGGTGAATTGGGCACTTTACCATTATGAAGTAACTCCATTTATTTCTATTAATGCTTTTTCCCCTGACATTTTTTGGTTTACTTTTCATATAGCTATAATAGTTAGTGCTTGAATGATATGTATTTGTACTTTTATTTTCAACCTTTCCTTGTTATCATATATATATCTTTTTCTTAAATACTATATAGATGGATGTTGCTTACTTTTGTCCAGCCTGATAGATCAATGAATAAGAGTATATACTATATTAATATCACAGAAAATGTTATTGCCAGTAGTGAGTACAAAAAACACTACAAAAGAAAGTGTAAGAAATTAAAAAAAAATGTTTACTCATTTCTAGATTATATAATAAGTGATATCAGAAATAAACATAAATCAATATTCCTTGTTTAATTTTGTCAATACAGTTGAAAAAAATTTTTGACCAGAAGTAACAAAAATGTAGACTGAATTTAGAAGTTTTTGTATGAAAAAATAAAGAACTGCCTTTAAGATCTGAATCTCAAATATTCATTAAAGAATACCCCTGTTTTGATCTGAGGAGACACAGGTCTAATCCCAGGGTTGGGAAGATCGGCTGGAGAAGGGAATGGCAACCCACTCCAGTATTCTTGCCTGGAGCATCCCATGGACAGAAGAGCCTGGTGGGCTACAGTCTATGGGGGTCTCAAAGAGCTGGACATGACTGAATAACTGAGCATACACATCACACTTACTACCCTAGACTCTGAGGACAGAAATGATTAATACATGATTCCTCCATATACATGAAATAAGATTAATTTATTCTGTGAATATAGATGAGTAAATGGATCGATAGGTAGAATTATTATGAGATACAATAAAGGACAAAATGAAGAAGACCTTTCTAATAAACAGAGCATTCTAAAGCCAGAATGGCTGTCTTAAAAGGGAGTAAGATCACAGTCACTAAAGCTATTCCTACAGAGCACTGATACCTATCTAGAACCAAGGAGTTCAGGGAGGGAAATTCTGCCCCAAGAAACAAAAAGACTATATGGCCTTCATGACTATTCTTTTCAAATTTGAAGACTGCATTTTGGGACATATATTATACATATTCAAACACATACATATCAAACACATACATTCAAACACAAGCATCCTTACGGGCTTTTTTTAAAGATTAAATTGTGAAAAAGCAAAGAGGCAACAAACAACACTATCCAAAGCTATTAACGATGAGTGAAGTAAGTATTTGAAGAGATATATCAGTCTCATTAATGCCAGAAAAATTCAGTTCTGGGGCATGGAGGAGAGATTCCCTTCTTATTCCTCATCAACATTCCCATTTGCCCACATGTAAACACAGATGAATGACATCAATATTTGCTGAGTTCCTTCAAGGTATCTAGGACTGAATTAGGTACTTCTTGTATGAATATCTTGTAAGCCTTCAATAACCTTATAAAAAAGGCATTGAAACTTGGAAAAATTAATAACTTACCCAAAGATTCAAGTGATTAAGTGGCAGAGCTGGAATTTAAACCCAGATCTAACTTCATTTACATTATCTTGTCTGCTACAATGCAAATAAGATGGGCTATAAAATAAAAATCTCCACTCTAAGCCATCAGATTATTCCCCTATATGAAAATTAAGCTCAAAGTCTTTCAGCTAATATCTATTCAGTTAGTTTTTTAAATAAGGGTATTCTGTAATAATTTAACCCAGAAGAAACTTTTTCAGGAATTCCATGAAGAAAAAATTTTCTTTCAGCAAAAGTCATTAATAAAATGACACTTTATTAAAAGAAGCTGTGGGCTCTCCTTCCCTGAAACTGGCAGTAAGTTAAAAGATTCTCTTAAGGTTCCCATCATCGATGATCACTATCTTATACATGCAACTGACATCATACTTAGAACAACCCTGGAACAAAGAAATAAAAGGTATCTACTCATGCTTGCAAATTGAAAAACTTAGGACAAAAGTAGTTCAACACTCTAAGATAAAGCCACAACTAAAAAGGTAGTCATCTCACTTATTAAATAGTATTTAATAAAATAGACACCTGTCATTCTCAAATGAGATTCTCGCATATAGTTAAAATACCCATGATATGTTTTATTACTATCAAATTCAAAACATTATTTATAATGAGTTGTGTACAAGGACAAGAATTCAAATAGAATTTAACTCTTAGTTCTAATTTGCATTATCACCCTGGACAATTAATGGATTTAAATTCCTAAATCATAATAGAGAGAAAATTTAGTTTGTTCAAAGTCACAAGGATAAGAAGTTGCAGAGCTGGGCTTGAACTAGGTTTTTCTAATTCTATATTGTACGTATAATAGAGAATAACAAATTCTAAAGGGAAGACCACTTAAAAGAACACTTAAATTCTAACTTTGACATATTTCTGGAGGCAGAGTTTGGAAAAGCATGTATAATGGTTAATTTTATGTCAAACTGTATCAGCCATGGTGCCCAGATATTTGGTTAAACATTATTATTGATATACCTGTGGGCCTTTTAAGGCTGAGATTAACATTTTTTTTCTTTAATATATAATTTTATTTCTGGTTATAGAAACAAATGCTAACAGGAGAAACAAAATATCCCAGTTCACATACAACAATAGATAAAAGACAGTCAAAATAATGAAACACAAAAAGGTAGAAATTTAAACATTGTTACAGCTTTAAAACATTAACATCTGGTACAATTAGAAATCATATTCAGATCTCAAACTTTAAAAAAAAAAAAGTATGGCTCCCTATTAAAAAAAAACCCAAAACTGTATCCCATTTGAAATGAAACCACAGGCTGGCCCAACTGCAGTGGGTTTCTCCCTGCCCGGGTGCCAGGGTCTGTGAATCCCTCCTGGGTGCCCCAGAGGCCAGAGCCCACATGCAGATGGTGAAACACGGCCAGGTGACATGACCTCTGCCTCCCACCCAATGTGCCACGGAACCTAATTCCAAGGACACTACAGGACTCTGCTTTTTAAAGCACTGATGATTAAACATGATGTGAAAAATAGACACCATAAAAAAAACAAAAAAACCCCTCGGCCCCCTATCAACATCCCTCCCCCACAAATGATCTTTACAGGAAAATTCTCAGTCAAATAAGAAAACACAATTCATGCTGGGTTTATCCCTTGCCCATGTGTGCCCAGCTGCCTGGGGTCAGAGTCAGACTGCAAGCGATAATCAAGGACGCACTTTCCTCTCTCCACCCCATCCCTGTCCTGAAGCAGAAATCAAGCTGGGTCAGTAGCCCTCGACTAGGTACCCAGAAAGCCCATCTTGGAAGAAACCTGGAAGAGGAGGAGAGAGGGGCCAGACTTAAAAGTGTTTGATTTTTAAATTCTATTTTTACTTATTAAAAATAAGTAAATAACTTATAAATAAATAAATAACTTTTTTGGACAAGTTAACCCAGAAATTTAGAGGCTATGGTCTTAAGAGGCCACAGGCCTGGCTGGATATCCTTTAGGCCAGTTAACTTCACGTACAAAAATTCCCTTTTGGAGTCACAGGCCTCACTGAAATTAACATTTAAATCACTGGATTTTGAATAAAGCAGACTGATCTCCATAATATGGGTGGGCCTCATCTAGTTGCTGAAGGCCTTAATAGAACAAAGACTGACCTCCCCTCAAGAAGGAAGTCCAACAGCAGACTGCCTTTGGATTTGAACTATAAACTC